ACTCACCAGAAAATTGCTCTATTAGCAACAGGCTAAATGTTGTTTCTAGGCAAAGTAAAAAAGGCTAATGATAGTGTTCATCTTGGGATAACTATAAAAATATTGTTAATGCCACTCTGAGCTGAAATTGTAACTACAGAAGTCAGGCCATCCCAAATTACGTTCCCCCAGCAACCATGATTCAGTTGACTCTTCAAGGCCTGCCATAGATGAATGCGATACTCTATATTACCGTTGCTGGGATAAGTGCACTTATTTATATCCGAGCTCTGGAAAGTTGTATTTTGTAGTCTTCTCTTCGGAAATGTGGTCATTAGAGACCAAGGAAAGTCCCTCCAAATCACTGAAAATATATGTTTTACTACATGGAAAAACATTCACACAGCTCAGAGCTTCACATTCATAAGGTCCTAATGGCCTCCAAGACAGTGAGATTCAAACGCTCTCTGTTCTTCCCTAAGGAATATCCAAAGTTTGAGATTTTGGGCAATATAGGCCAGCAGTCAGGCTACCAAAAAAGGGAGAAGAGATGGTATGGTGTACTCCAGAATGGCTTGGAGAAAAATATACCCTCATTTGAACATTTATGAGACTTAATCTGTTAGGTTGATGGTGATTGAATTTGTGATTTTAAATGTAAATGGTCTGCAAGTCTTCGTTTGATTTCAAGCATTTTCTTCTCAGTGGGAAAAAAAAAAGGCTTGGATGGGAAGTAATGAGGAAAGTTAGAAACAAGATTAAGGTGTTCATTTCAGTTATATTTTGGAAACTTTGTCAGATGCCAAAATGTGCTAATGAAACGGGATGACAAAAACTAGTCAGTTAACACATTTATCCTTGCAGCCCAGACAATTATCTGATACTAACACCAAGATGAAGTTAAGCTAATCCTCTTGTTGCTATCCTAGGTATCTGTTTTTGAAAATACAAGCTGGTTCTTACGTATCTATTAATATCAGAGAAGTAAGCCATACCCAAGACAGCAGGCAGGGAGAAACTGCCTCTAAACAGATGTGAAGTTAACAAAGAGGAGACTAAAGATGAAATTGATAAGTATAGAAGAATATAAATTCATGACCAGACAAAACTGAATCACAGAATTTTTCCCTCCCTGCAAATGAGCAAAAAAATAAAAAAGTTAAAAAAAAACAACTCACTAATAGTAACCACACAAAAAAGCCATTAACCTAAAGCAATACATTTCAGTAAATGATGGCTGAGTGGCTCTTAATCCCCCACCCCTTCGAGACACACCTTAGAGGAAATGAAATCAGGAAAGGAGAATTATGAAGGAAGAAAAGAAAACCATGGACTGCTTCTGTCTGCAGATGTAAAGCCTTCACGTCTAGGTTGTGGATTGGAGGAATGATCTAGAACCTGAGGGCACCACTCTATCAACATGGCATATGTTCCAAGTAGGTGGTGTGAATCCTGATTTGGGTCATTGAGAAAATTCCCAGAAGAATAAGCAGCACTCAGAAGTTGAATTAAAGACTGGTTATCGGCCGGGCGTGGTGGCTCACGCCTGTAATCCTAGCACTTTGGGAGGCCGAGGAGGGCGGATTGCTCAAGGTCAGGAGTTCGAAACCAGCCTGAGTGAGACCCCGTCTCTACCAAAAATAGAAAGAAATTAATTGACCAACTAAAAATATATATACAATAAATTAGCGGGGCATGGTGGTGCATGCCTGTAGTCCCAGCTACTCGGGAGGCTGAGGCAGTAGGATCGCTGAGTCCCAGAGATTGAGGTTGCTGTGAGCCAGGCTGACACGCCACGGCACTCACTCTAGCCTGGGCAACAAAGTGAGACTCTGTCTCAAAAAAAAAATAAAAATAAAATAAAAATTAAAAAAGACTGGTTATCATGTCAGCTGAGTTCTTGCTGTCCCTGTTCCTGTCAGGAATAGGGCCCTAGAAGAATAGAAAAAGTACAAATCATTTAGCCCTCAGACTGTCACTTGAGAGAGAAAAAAAATGGCTCCCCAGTATGGTGGCAGGGAATCACCCACATTTTAATCAGAAAATGTAAAATAAATGGACAGAGCTGATCAAGCACATGCAAGATGAAGAGAATCAGCCCAGCAGCTACTAATAGCGTGTAGGAACACAGCATGCAGAGTGCAAAGACACGGGCTCACCCTTGAAAATAAAACTTAAGGAACAGAATCAGCTTCCTCACAATGACTTAGTAAGAGTATAACTGATACTCTAGAACTTAACAAGAGCATAAAAGTATTTTTAAAATAGCTTGAAGACAAGGTGATAAAACAAGAATGAAATGAAAAGGAAGGCTGAAAGTCTATCAAATCAAGAACCAAAAACATTAGTGCAGAAATAATATGTAAATTAAAAATGTTAACATATATAAGACCTGTTGAAAATTTGTTTACTAAAAATAGAAAGAAAGTATTTCTGTAGTCACAGTGAATACAGGTGACAAAGAAATTAAAGACAGCGAGAATCTGAAAGATATGACAACATTAAAATATTATACAATGTGAAGATAATAGTTGGAATCCCCGAATAGAGACTCTAACAAAAAGAACAGTATATACTGAAAGATATAAGAAAATTTCACAGAAATGAAGAAAGGACCACATATATTCTAGGCAGTATGCTATTGAATGCTCAAAACCCAAGCACATCTTAGTTAAGCTATTGAACCTCAAGGCTAAAGAAATAATTCTTCAGGTACCAAACCAGAATAAGTCAATTTCCTACAGGATAGAAAAAACCCAGGCTGGTCTGAGATTTCTCCACTGCCCGTCTAGCGCCATGCTTTCTGAAAATGGAGAAGGAAAGTGACCCAAGGATATATCCAGCCAAGACGTCATTAAAATTTAAAGACAACAGGGAGACACGCTTAAACCTGAAAGGACAAAAGCAACTTTGAGACCTTGTTGAAAAAAATCCATGGTGACAGGCACCCAGGGAATAAAAAAAATAACAGAATAACTCAGAAATGGAGAAGTCATGGTGAGAACTACTAGGTTTGTTTAAATGCAGAACTAATACTAAGCAACTATGGAAAATAATGCTATAGATTGAATATGAAATGTTATCAGTCAGACAAAATAAAAATAATAACTAAAAGATATGAAAGATAGGGACTAGAGGTGAGAAAAGAGTGAGAGTATTTATTGTTCTCTTTCCCAGCAAAAAAGTCAATCAATACTGTCTAGAATTATAACACGTTTAAAATGCAAACACATAATTATTCCAATCACTTAATATTTTCTAATCTTTTTTTACGTTAGAATGATCATTTAGGAGATAATAACTATTATGGTACAGAAACTTTCCCTTGAAGTTGAACAGTTCTTTTTTTTATTCATCTCCACTGTTCAATTAAAATGTGTGCTTTTTATTTTAAAAAATCGCATAGGTATGGTCCCATTTTATAAGTCTCTCTGCATATATTCTTAAAACATGGTTGCAATCATGCTCATCTAATGTTAATGATGATTATTTCTAGATTGTAAGGCATTTTTTTTTTTTTTTTTTTTTGAGACAGAGTCTCGCTTTGTTGCCCAGGCTAGAGTGAGTGCTGTGGCATCAGCCTAGCTCACAGCAACCTCAAACTCCTGGGCTCAAACGATCCTGCTGCCTCAGCCTCTCGAGTAGCTGGGACTACAGGCATGCGCCACCATGCCCGGCTAATTTTTTATATACATATCAGTTGGCCAATTAATTTATTTCTATTTATAGTAGAGACAGGGTCTCGCTCTTGCTCAGGCTGGTTTTGAACTCCTGACCTTGAGCAATCCGCCCGCCTCGGCCTCCCAGAGTGCTAGGATTACAGGCGTGAGCCACCTCGCCCAGCCTGTAAGGCATTTTTTAAAATCATTAATCTTTGAAACTTTATGAATTCTAAAACATTAATCCTTTTAAGTCAGTATGCTTTGTCTTATGAAAACAACTGTGTGGATTTTCTTAAAAACTAGAAAAAATATGCAAAAAGTGGCTAATTCTGAGTGATAGGGATATTTGACATGATTTTCTTCTTGGTACACTTCTGTAATTCTTTAAATGTAAAAAATTAAAGAACTAGTTAAGAACTAGTTAACTTAACTAATTAAAGAATTAGTTAAGAGTGAATAGAGGGTGAGGATAAGAGAATATGTGTTTGAGGGCATTCCCACCTCCACAAATCCTTTTAGGGGGGCTGAGTCCAGGTGGGGACCCCTCTACCCGGGTCCCAGTCTTCCAGATCTGTCTTGATGAGCAGTTAGAGAAGCCACTGGCTTTCAGTGAGCATATTTTCATGGGGATGGCTTAAGGGAAAATTCTCTTCCCACTAGAAGGTATAGAACAGATTTGGGTCACAGGCACAGTTTGAAAGAGAGTAATAGACTCCTTTGAAAACAGTTGCACTTTGGGGCTCAAACATTTTTTGGCAGCTTTACTGAGATAATTCATGTCATAATACTTACCCTTTTAAAGTGTACAGTTCAGTGGTTTTTAGTGTATTCACCAAGTTGTGGAACCGTCATCACTAATTCCAGAACATTATGATCACCCCCAAAAGAAACCCCATACCCATTAGCAATTCACTCCATTCCTCCCTCCTGCCAGCCCCTGGCAGCCACTAATCTACTTGCCATCTATAGATTTGCTTATTCTGGACATTTCAGATAAATGGGATCACACAAATATGCTCTTTTGTGACTGGCTTCATTCACTCAGCATAATGTTTTCAAGGTTCACCTGTGTCGTAGCACGTATCAGTACTTCATTTCTTTTTAATGCAGAATAATATTCCATTGTGTGGACATAGCACGTTTTGTTAATCCATTCATCAGTTGATGGACATTCAGGTTGTTTCCACACTTTCACTATTATGCATAATGCTGCTATGAACATTCGTTTATTAATACAAGTTCTTACATATGTTTTCATTTTTCTTGGGCATATACCTATAGGTGGAATTGCTGGACCATGCAGTAGCTCTATGTTTTGGAGCTCAAACATTGAAACTGCTGTCCTCTCTCTGTTCCCAGGCAGAAATGGTGCACAGTGCGTTCCAGGCCCAGCGGGCTTTCCTTCTGATGGCCTCTCAGTACCAACAACCTCAAGAGGTAAGAGCAGATTCTGAGAGACAAGGTTGCCTGGGGAATGGGCAGTGTAAGACAAAAAACGAGGGAGCAACAGAATCATTTACTGTGAGAGACATCCTGAAAATGAGGCTGCTAGCACATGTAGGTTCTGTCTGTAATGTAGATCACCGTACAGAACACTTCTTTTGTCTTCATAATTTTACAGACGAGTTTAAAAAAAAAAAAAAGTATGCCACTTACAAAAAAAAAAAAAGCAATATGTGCCTTCTTATTACTAATATATCAATATGGCCAAATTCATACTGTAACAATGGACCCCACCAGTTTAAAAGATCAATTTGTTTATGTCTTCTGTGTCCTAGTCTTTATACTAGTCTCACAACCTCTTTATAATCAAGGAAGCTTTTACTACTAATTTTTTAATTCCAATTTTGAGCTGCTTTGTTATCAAAGACTGTTCGTATCTGTGGTCATCCCTAAATTCTGTATATGAATTAACTCCTATTTCTTCAGTAGCAGAGATAGGCTAAACCAGTGCTTCTCAAATGTTTTGTGTTTATAGATTATCTAAGGAGCTTCATTGCGGTTTCTGATTCGTCAGGCCTGGAATATGGCCTGAGATTCTGCTCTTTAATAAGCTCCTAGGTCATACCTGGGCTGCTGGTCCTCATTCTCAAAACACCAGAACTGGAAGGAATTTTCATGAATGTCTAAGTACTTAGGAATATTCTACCTCTCTCCTTTCTCTGCCACCATAAGGAATATGGATTAATATTTCTCAGGTTAAAGACATTTAGAAGTGTTAGAGGATTTGATGCTAACTGCAACAATATTACCAACATAATAATTTTAACCACTTTTAACCATTGTAACATTGCCATGTAAGCCCCAGACTAAATATTAATATACAAAGGAATGAAACTGGGAAGAGCAGATGTTAAGAGCAGAGTGATGGGATGCCTTCTCATTTCCCAGACCTTTATAAAATTTCCCATTCTCTAAACCAAGGCCCCACCACCACCCCCAAAGAACTGACATCGTACCATGCAAATAACTGCGTGCCTTCTGCCAAGAGATCGTAATAACAGCGTTTCGACCATGCTGGTTGTGTAATGAGTGACATTTTCATTAAAAATTAGTGCTACTACTGGTATACCTTCTTAAATAGGAAAAAAAATTGTTATTTTGTCTAGAAATATTCTGCATCTGAAGTTTGGTAACAATTATATAAATAAAAAATGAATATTCATTATAATACAAGAGCTTCAACGTAATAGTTCACTTTGAATTCTAAAACAAACTCCTGAAATTGAAAAAGTTGAACTGGGAATGCAGGACTTTGACCTTCAGGGAATGATGCTCCGCTCCATAAAGGGGCAGGACCTGAGACACTGGACCGTCCCCAGAATAGCCATTCCCAACTTTGCCTGCGCAGTGGAATCACCTGGAAAATTCTTTAAAGCGCCCATGCCTGGGTCCCACCCCAAGGGCTTTTGGCTTAATTGGTGTGGGGAGTGGCCTTGGCTTTGAGATGTCTACAGGCTCCACAGGGATTTCTAATTCACAACTAGAGCGGTCAGCCTCCACCCGAGATGGAGATGTCATTTCCCTCCGTGTGAAATGAGGAGTTAGCACACCACCTAGGGAGAAGGCTCTGTGTGGATGGAAATAGTCTTCTGTGGGTGCATTTTCCTCCTTGGCCGTCTCAATCCCTGCTTTGCAAAAGAGAAAAAGTAGGAAATCACAATGGGATGCATCATAGGTTCGGCCTTAGCCTGCCTTCTCTGTGGGCAGGAGTGGGAGGAGAAGTGGTGTCAACAGAGAGTCTCAGGTGGAGGAAGCCCCATGACTTTCCTTGTTGGTGCTCCCCTTGTTTTTTTTTTCCCTAAATGCAGAACAAGAAGCTTCTCCATTGGCCTTTCAGGCCTTGCACAAAAAAGCCACTCACTAAGTATTGGATGAAGATGTGAATGAACCAACAAATGAATGCATGTCTTAGAACTGTGGCATCCCAGAATGAGCTGTGGTCAGAGACACTGTGGCTTAGCATGTGGCTGTGCAGATTCTTGGGTATAATATCCACAGTTTCCCTTTCTTACTCTATTGCATTTTTGATAAAAGGGGGAGAAATTTGTTCGCAGAAGGCATGCACTAGAAATGCCACCATTAGCACTCATCACAGTACCCCACGTTCATAAGGCTCGGCAAGACCAGGCAGGCAGAATGCAGAGCAGATTTATCATACTCAACTCCCTTTCTGGCCCCTCGCTCTCCTTCCCTTTCCTCTTTACCCAGAGCACTGTCCCAGTACTTCCACCTGATAGAAAAGCAGATTTGCAAGGTCACCACCGTAGTAGAGAATAGCACATGGCCAGGCCCGATCTTCCCACTGTGCATTCTAGAAGATACATCATTAAGAGAATTGTCATAATACAGATCGTATTTTCTCAAGGGAACAATATTATAACTTTCTGTGTCTTCCTCTCTTCCTTCTTTCAGGAGAAAGAGCAATAACTGCTGTAATTTCAACTCTCATTAGCACATGGCAGTGATTCTCAAACTTAAGAGTGCATGAGAATCCCCTGGAGGGTTGTTAAAAGACTGTTGGGCCCCACTTACAGAGTGTTCAGTTCAGTAGGTCTTGGTTGCATCCAAGAATCTGCAGTTCTAAAAAGTCCCCAAGGGATGGTGATGCTGCTAGTCCAGGCACCACCACACTTGGAGGACTTGTGGCGTGTGGATCACTCTCACTGTTACACCTCGAGCTCAGATTATTTCAGGTACTTCAGAATGTCACTTCCAGCTACCACTAAGACCACTGCTTCTCAAACTTCAGCCTTCATTTGAATCACCTGGAGATCTTGTTAAATTGTCTGGTTCAGTAGGTCTCAGGTGGGGCCCAAAAGTCTGTATTTCTTCTGTCAAAAAGACTGGGAAGTCTGAGTCTTGTATTCCTCCAGAAATGAAAGAGAGGGAGTTTCTTCTACCCTCCTTCTCCTTTTCTTGTCTTTATTTAAACTTGCACTTTAAAAGGAAATCATGCCTTCCTGTACATAGAGCAGGAATCTAGAGCTTATTCTCTTTCCTTTCATTGTTTATACAGTTTGAAAAATTAGAAGGGGAAAGAGGGTTAGAGACTCTTCCTCCATTCTTCCATCTCTGAGTGAACACTCACAACCCAGCATGGTCTCTGCTGAACACTGACACAATAAGGACTTTCTAAGGCATGGAGCAGTAATCAAATTTATTAATAATCTGTTCATTTTAAACCAAGCAAGTGATCCCAGTGGCAGTTCAGCTAATTATTTAGAAGCATGAGAGATCCAGATGACTACTGGGCATGAATATGTTTGGGATTGTAATAAAACATATTGACCTGTGAGGGCAGTCAAGAACAGAAACTTTAGACTAAGCCTGCTTGGATTTGAATCCCAGATCTTCTACTCAGTAGCTCTGCTAATCCAAAGGCAAGAAAAACAGATTCATCTGTGATCCTGTGACATTTGAGAAATTTCTTTTTCTGGGCAGCCACTGGAGAATCAACCTGGTAAAGTGCACAATACATTCCCCCTGATCTACTCTACCCAAACCAACTTGTCAATTACCAACCCCCCCCCCACTTAGCGGAACCCAGGTAAACTTTCCAAGCCCATGTTTTCCTATCTTTAAAATAGGGATAATAATTCCTACGTGGAAGAGTTATTGTGAGGATTAAATGAGAAAAAGCATGCAAAGCCAGGTGGCCAGGTGATTAAGTACAAGAATTCAGTGTCAGTGGTGTCCAATTGCTTTAACAAAAAGTCCCCAAGTCTATCTCAAAAGCTTAACATAGGAGAATTTTTATTTATTTTTTGCTCACATAAGGTCTGCTCTGGTGTTTTTGGTTGACAGTCTTCAACATGGTCATTCAGGGCCCAGGCTTCCTCCATCATGAGGTACCCAGCTCCTCCAGGTCCTCAGCCATTGAATTGGGACAGAGAATGTAGGATTACTCCCAGAAGGTTTATGAGTCAGGCCTAAAAGTGGCCAAGGTCACCTCACCTGCATTCGGTCTCCTGGCCATTCCTAGCTGAAAGGGAGGCTGGGAAATTTAATCACCTGTATTCTGGGAAAGAAGAACTCAAAGGTTTGGTGAGTACCTAGCCAGTCTATCAGAGTGGGCCATGTGGTTTGACTAAAATGAGATCTCGCTCAGTACAAATGTATTGTCTTTCCAAAAACTTATATGGATTTTTTTAGGCTAATACCCCATTTCTCTTGCTGTCCAGAGAAAGACAAGAAAGACTTTCAAATCTAATGGCTGAATGTTTTCAATGTACTTAATAGAGAGATATAGATATAAGTATATAGTATCTCAAAATTTCTTTTACTTAGAGTGAGTTCATCCTTTTTGCCTATGTAATGTTTCACCATAACTACAAGGTATCAAATTATTGTCCAATATTTTGAAATGCCAAACAAAGTAGTCATGTGATTTGATCTCAGCGCATGCCTTGGGTAAATTACTTGGTGCTGGTGGCAGGTCTGGAAGTTGTAACAGAAAAGCAAACGAATGAATGAAGCCAAACTCCCAAGTGTTTCTTAAGTCCATGCCCAGAAAATGTCACAGCATTGCTCAATCATGGTTGCTGAATCTTCTTGAAAGATTTGGCCACGATTAGTGCTGGTTAGTTGTATTGTCAGGGGTCATATGACAGATAATATGAGGCAATAAAAAAATAATTCTTGTCCTAATGTAAAATGAAATGTCTATTTTGAAATATTGCCATAAAGTTGGGTTTTTTTCTTAATACAAAGACATCAAGAAAATATTCTCTTGAGTAACTGCTGTTAATTATAAGTGCAGAACAAGTATTTAATGGATTTTTTAAATATATAATTTCCACATTTATCTTGAAAATAGAAAAAGCCTACAAGGGAAATAAAAGGTAAAAATTTTCATACTTTGTATCATGCTTAGTTATGTTTTCATTAAGTAGTAGTGTATTTCCCAGAGGTCTGGATTGACAGTTTCAGAAAGG